AACTGGATTATTCTATGTTGCAGAAAGTTTTGAATGTTGTGGAGATTTGACCACCACTGAATTTAGACTGAAATCCACCGTTTTAAAAAGTGAAAACTTTGATAAGCAATTTTTTAAAATCATCTATAATTTCTCTCAGGGGGAAGTGAAGCTGATTTATCTAATCCACCTTGGAAAGGAAAATAAGAGACGCAAAAGCTATTAAATCAAAGACTGTAATGTGGAACAAGTTCAATGTAATAAAAAAGCAACAAAGGCATCTGCAATAAAGTTAAATGAGACATTCAAGCAGTTTTACTCTGCAAGTTAGTTCTTGTGATGCTGCATCAAATTATATAACATTCAGAAAACCATTACATTTTAGGATCATTACAGAACCTTTAGATCACAGATTTGTTTAAGATCAGACATAAAAATAAAGTAGTTTTCAACTAAAACTTTTGTTTTGGTGTCTGAAACCCACATAATTATTTAGAATTTAATTTTATGCAACATATTCCAAATCTTAGGTGTTTCAAGTGTAAAATAAGACAGTAAAAGTGAGCTTTTTAAGATTTTCACAAACAGTATAAAGTATAATGATAAAGTAAGACTTAAAAATAGTCTCATCTTGTTCAAATCCCAATTTTTTGTGTTTTTATACATAAAGTTAAGTTTCACAGATCGAAAACAGCCTAAAACAGTAATTTCATTCAGGTTTGACCAGTCTGGGTGTGACTGGTTTTCAGTTTGGATCCTATCCAGATTGGCGTAGTTACCCAAAAACTCATTCAAATACCAAATGTGATTTTACAAATATAACGACATTTTCACAGATCTTGATTAAAGGTTATCCAGTTCCAAATTTGGCTTCCATCTAGTTGCCTAAACAGAAAAAACACAGTTTATCTCTCAGTTTTTTTATGATTTTAAAATATTCTTAAAAATAATCCTGTTTATTTTTGACCAGTCTAGGGGATCTGATTTAGCCTGAAACGCACCCCAAAAATATGGACATTTTTGTCTTCTCAATTATGACACCTGTGTTTTAATGAACTAAACTGTAAACTACCCTTTGATTTGGAACAGATGCTTATTTAAGCCATTTATTACCGATTAATATTAAAGATTTAGTGGTAGAGGATTGACATTCGCTGCTCCCCTCATCTTTACAACTGCATGGCCAGAGTAACTTCCTGTATTGCTAAAATAGGCCTTCAGATGTGCATCTTTACACATGCAGCTCGGTGACAGTTGGGACTCACTCTCGAAGGCCTGCAGGAACAACTCGTGGTCGGCCTGAATCAGTTGCATGTTGGGCTTCTTGGCTGCGGCGGAGGGCGGCTGGTACAACCCGTTGGTTTTTCCTCCAGAACCGAAACCCACATGGTGGTGGCCTCCACCTGAGGAGCTCTGCTTGTGCGGAGCCATGGAGGTCAGAGGCTGGGGGAGAAATGGAGCTGGCTCCCCCACCTGAAGTGGGGTGGAGTGGTAAAGAAATAAATAAAAAAAGAAGAAATTCAGCTGCTCTTCCTTCCTTTGTCAAAACAAAAGAGGCAGCGATGGTGGTTAAAAAAACAACTGCTAACGACAAGTCCTCATTTTAAAGACATGTTGCTAAATTTCTAGAATGTTAAATTTGAGACTGATGGAGCGATCGAGTTACGGTAAACTGTTATTAAACCTGTTTTAGCGGTTAGGTGGTCGAAGAATGCGCGGAACAACAGAACAGCCTCCGGCGAGCTGAGGCGGAAACCCTGGGCTAACCGGTTAGCGTCGCCCCAACGCCGAGTTTCCACGGAGAATGTCGGTAAAATAACCCCGCGGCGACACGAAGAAACGGGGAAACCGTTAAAACGGTAGTACCATATTCCATTTAAGGAAAATGATTAACTGCAAATGAACATTGTTGTCACCCAGTGTCTGTTAGCAAGTAGGATTTAAAGTATAAGGAAGCTAATCGATTTATCCCCAATCATATCCGGCCAGTATTTTCATAATAAAAGCATGGTTAAAATTAAATTCACCTTTCGACGATTGATTTTAAACAAGACAAGTTCATCTTATTATTTGTTCTAACCTTTATTTCACCAGAAAATTCCCTATAATTAAGAATCTGGTATTTGTACACAGAGCTTACATAACATTCATAACAAAATAATAATAAAAAAAACCTGACACCATCATAACAAAAAAAAAAAAATTAAAACATTTACAAATAATCCCTTTTTAAAATCATTAAGGGCAGCCTTAAAAATTGTGACAACAAAACTGAAAATTAGTTTCTAATAAAATTTGAATTTCATACCACACCAATTAAACCAAAAGTGTGGTAAAATAGGTGCACAAACAATAGAAACCGATATAAAAAATAAAAGATAATAATACCATAAATACCAACCTATTGTACGTCCACATACTGAACCAGGGCTTATTTTACATTTACATAAAATTACAATATCAACAGCGATGGACGATCTGCTTTATTTTGAAGGGTTAAATCGTCCCATTTCTCCCTCTTTCCTCTAACTTGAAGTGACTTGAAAGAGTTACGCTGCACCAGAAGGATGACTCGTGTTTAGAGATCCCGCCTTCTAATTTCTTTACCCAATCACCGCGCTTGCTGCTGACATGCTAAGCTCTCATTGGTTGCTGCAGATATTAGAAGCAGGCGGCGCAGAGTTGAGGCACGTTTGCCGCCTCCTGTGTTCACAGGGGCTAAAAAGCGTTTTAAAAATCACTGTTCACTGTAAAATAAAATTATTTCAGTCAGATTTATATGTTTTCTAAACACAAGAATAATTAGAAATCATTTGAAATGCAGCACAGACTTCAAGGTAATAAAATTAACCGACCTTATTGCCAAAATTGAGAATGAAAGACAATGAAAGTGTTGCAAAAACATGTTTTTTTTGTTTGTTTTAGTTTTATAACCAGACATCTTTATGGTATTCTGAAAAACAATTAGAATCCTGTATAAGTTAATAAGCTTTTATTAAATACCTGCAAACTATTTCCATTATCCTTCTTGATAACCTCTACATTTCTCTTAAATATTTATATTTTTATAAATATGAATGTTTATAATATATATTTACATCAAGATAATCTGCGTGCATCTGCATCTTTGCTTACTTTCCACAACAACCTAAAATACAATGTGTCAGAGTTGACATCTATTAAGCACAGCACATAATACAGGAAAGACAAGAGAAAGTTAGATTCTTAATACTCGCGAGGAGAACAGACAGAGATGTGCTTTCAGTTACAAATCTCCTACTGCTCTGAAGCACATTTGCCTGCCCCTCTCTTTAGGATCCCTAATCACAGAGAGCGCTGTAACTCTAAGGGGAGGGGAAAAGACACTTCATCACACAGTCACAGCGCCAGATTATCACTAACTAACAACACAATCTATCTCGCACTAGCTTATCCAGTTCCTGACCCAGGATCAAGCAGGACAAGTTGTACATCTTCACGGCGATGGTTTTATAACTATCTAAGAGGTCAAAGCAGGCCGTTCTGTGAAGAGCTGCTGTCACTGCTCTTCTTCAGAGAGGCCTCCTCTGAGGAAGGAAACAGAGTGATTAACAATACAGAAACATTCCTTAAAACATATGACTAAACTAAATAAGTAAGAATACATAAACTAAGAACATAAAGATATAACAAATAGTTGATAATAATACAATTTACCTAACACAATGTGAACTAAAGCTGCACTGTTTCAAAACTAACACTGGAAAAGGTTTTAATAAGACACAAGAAAATAGCAAAAAATGCAAATAAATCAGCTTTAGACTGCAGTCTGGGTCAAACCCAACCCTTATAGACCCTTCATTTTTCACAACTGGAGATTAATTCACTGTGCTAACATACGATCAGTGGGTACATTCAGCTAGTGAAGTCAAAAGCTATTTCTGTCCTCAATGTTTTTGGGTCAGTGGTTTAATCTCATGTTGGCAGCAGTTATTTCTATATTTGTTTCAGGAAGCACTTACTTCCCTTTTGTTCATATAGACATTGATGGTGTGATGCTCTTTTTTTCTTTCTACTTTAATTTTATATTTTTCCAATGCTGAGTTCAGAGTAGAAAGGTTTAAAATGTGAGAGAAGCAGAGAAGTTTCAGGTCAGTTTGCTTTGTCGATGGAAAACAGCAAGAAGCATCCGTACTTCATGATACAAACACTAAAAAAACAAATCTAATACATTTATTAAATCTGTATATATAGAGAGCGCTTTTACCAAAGTTGAATCAGTGCAAAAATATCTGGTAGAAACCGTCTCTATAGCTCCAACCTGAAGGTAAAACAAAACAGTTTGTGTCCAGCATGTGTGGAGTCTGCAGAGATGTTAGGTGCTTATGGTGATAATGGCTTTTAATGTCTGTCTTAAACATCTACTTATAATTGGGTGTTTTACATACAACTATAACAACAAATGCTTGTTTTAGCTGGATCTTTTCATATAAGTTGATTTTATATGAATAACACTAAAAATGCTGGTGATATTGTTTTAGATTCATAGAAAATGCATCCATTATGTTTTCTGCAAATGTTTAGTTTTTTAAATTATTATTTTAAACCCTAAAAACAGAAATAAAATGACACCACATTACTTGAAATGTTTTTTCATGTTCTCAGCTCTAAGCAAGTTTTATTTATTTAGCCAAATATGGTTCTAAAGTTGCAGAACACTGATCTAAACAATCCACTGTAATAAGATTATAAATAGGTTTTAAATGGGTTTTCTACAGATAATCCAATCCATGGTGATGATCTGTGGATTTCAAAGTATGATGGAACACTATATAACATCATTAAAGTAAATTATTACATTTTTCTGAATGTAAAAACATTTACGTTTTGGGACTGTGGTATAAAAAGTTAACTAATTTTGAGAAAATTATATAGAAATATGCTCATCCATAGGTCAGGATGTAATAAAAAATGCAATGAGCACAAAACAATAAATATTTTATAAAATAATTACATAAATAGTCATCAAAAAAGTCAGAGGCTGAATTAAAATGACATTTATTTGTCACATTTCCTTTGATATCATGACTACAGTTGTGAACAGTGATAGTAAACATGGGGACTGACCTGTTACAGTAGATAAAACCTAATTTTATAAAATAACATGTTTTAAGCACATGGCACAAACAGGACAAGCAATGGGAAACTGCAGAACACATATATAAAATTTTAGAAACCTCTAAACACAAAAAAATAAATAAATACAGACACAAAAACGCAAGATTACTTTTGTCAGAGCATTTTAGTCTGGAGTTTATAGGTAATCATTAAGGATAATAAACAAGATAACAGTTCTGTGTTAACTGGAACCAGTGCCTGAGATGGAGGAACCGAAATAAAAGCCATTTCTGACAGTGACATGCGGTGAGGATCTTAACTGGTCAGACACTGACTCATTTTGAACAAATCCAAAATAGAAACTTATTTTTCAAATTTGACCTTTAATAAAGTTTTTTATTGTGTTTTAATCAATTGAATACAATTCAACAATATAATAGCAAAAAAACAAACTATTTAATATAAGGTCACATTTATTTTTTTAATTTTGAATGCTTTCTTTGGCTAACTTCTTTGTATGATCTTTCCTTTTTATTTTTTTAAAATCTGGCAACCTTAAAAGGTTCTGTTCTGACTGCATTTTTGGTTTTCTGACTGTTTTCAGTCTTTTCAATGTGCAGAAGAGAACCTGTTGCCTGTAGCGCTTATGGGGCACAACACTGCCCCCTATCGTTGAATAACGGTACTTACTGTTTCACCCTGTGCACTGCGCATTTACAGCCGATTAAAAAGACTAAATATGCCACTCACATTTATTAAACATATTATACAGACTGAGGAACGTCAACATATATAGAACATGTGTTATCTAATAAATATATTAGCGATGCAAAGAGAACAGTAATGCACATGCACCAACTGCTGTATGTAACACAGCGCCCCCAGAGGTAAGGCACAGCACTACACTGCCTCACTTATTTCATGTATTTCAACAGGCAATGTGTAAATTCAGCCATTTTTGCCATAAAAAAATCGATGTTCTTGACATTACAAATAAAAAAACTAATTTATACAAAAAAATTTGATGTTCTCTCATCATTATTAGCATCTATTTTACTTTTCAGGATTACAGGAGAGTTCTCCCCTGACCGCACATCGCTGATCCAGAGGTGGCCATGAATCTTTTGTTTGAAATAAATAAGTTAGTTGAGTTTTAAAACATGAATGAATGAATAAATTAACATTTAAAAGATCTTCAAGCTTGTCAAATGGATAAAGTGCCACACTTCCTTCAAGAACCAGTCATGGTTTCGTGTTAGAGCAGCAGACAGACCGAGATTAAAAATTAAAACACAGAAACTCAGTGGACTGAACCATCAGTCAAACTGCCAGCAGGAGCAGTCTGACCGTCATGCAGGAGGTTTTTAGTGTTTTCTCAGTAGTATGTAGGCCATGAGCAGGACAAGGCCCGCCGACAGGCCTGCAATCACAAATTGGTGGATGGAGAGGACGTGCTCCAGCGTGTGGATCCGCTCCTCCATGGCGCTGGTGTGGAAGTAGTCGTAGATGCCGGCGGTGATGCTCCACAGCGCCCACACGGCGTCCACCACCAGCGGCATGGTGGGCGAGGCTCAGCTGCAGGCCGCAGTGGCTCCGTCAGAGCCTGCAAGGAACTCAACGAATCAGCTGGAGATATGCAAAAAAGCTGAATACATATATATTCCATGAGTACGTCTTAAAATTCAGTTCACACTGATGAGTTCCTCCAGGAATCCATGACTGATTTTGGAATTTTTTGCAATTAAAATCACTGATTTTCTGGGGCTATTTTAGATATTTGAATTCAAATAAGACATCATAGCAGGCAATTGCAGACAGAAACAACAAGATGAGTAAATTTCCACCACACAACTCAGAAATTTTTTGATTAATCTAAAAAATATTCTAGAAAACAACTTTGTAATTTCTGAGCCCCCAAAGTCAACCATTTTCTTAAAAAATTAAAAAAAATTGGAAATTTTTTAGAAACGTAGAAAATGTCAAAATAAAAACTTTTAGACTTTTGAAACTCAGAAAATTCCATCTTTTTTTCTGGAAATTTTTTAGATTAATCTCAAAATTTCAAATTTTTCTCCAGTAAATCTTCAACTTTTGGAGCTTATAAGAGTTCCTTGTTTTTTATTTTAGAAAACGTCTGAAATTAATCTCAAATTTCTGAGTTATTTTTTTTTAAATCAATTTCTTGACTTTTGGAGTTAGAAATGTCCTTGTTTTTTCAAGAAGAAAAAAAAAAGGAAAAGTTTCATATATTAAGGTCAAAATTTCAGAATTTTTTTCAAGCAAATTTTTGACTTTTGAAACAGAAATTGCATGACAATAAATGTGACCTTTTATTACTCGCCACATCGACCACAGACTACATTAAATCAGGCTGAGGGACGAGCCTGATTTAATAGGAAATACTGTCATGTATTCAGTTAGTCAGTTAGCATCATTTTAACCCAATGTTTTGGGCAATTTTTGCGGGATCTGTTGATTTTTCGGGTGAAAAATTTTAAACCAGAAAACCAAGAAATCACACCTCAGAAGAACCGTATTCTGATCTCCTCCAATGAGAAATTAACGCAAAAGGAGCAACAATCAAGCACTGAACTCGTCACACGCCTGGCATTTCTGTTTAAAACGTAATTTTTAATTGGATTATATGTAGTATTCTAAATTTCTGAGACTGAATTTAGAGTTTACTTTGTATTGTATTATTAAGAAAGTAAGGCTTAATGATTTCACTTTTGTGTGTAATTAATCTCTGTTTCTTTCAGAAATTAATAAAAAATATTGAACTTTTTCACGATGTTGTCATTTCTAGAGCTGTATTGTACTTGTGCTAATTAGCCACATGCTTGTTAGCAAACGCCTCTGTTAGCTAAAACAAACATTTAAGCTTTATTACTTACAGCACGGCTAGGTCAAAAATATTATGAAGATCATAAATATCCATCCACCGTCCCAAACGTGCTTCCCCGAGCATTACATTCTCATATTACAGCAGCAGAAATGTTGAAATCCAATCTGTTGTGACCTATCTACTTCCGGGTGTGCTCCACTGTCAACGTTCCGCTTCCCTATAAGATGCCTATTGGCAAAGTTTACACTTTAAGGATTTCACCCTATAGTCCAAAATAAAATCCATAAATTGACATCTAACATATCTTAATGTTATTAATGATATTTGTGGGAAAATTCGGCATTCATTATCGAATTAAGAAGAGGATGGTTTTGATTTTATTACTTTAGAGTGAGTTAAACCGGCCGGTGCGTATCATGAGTGGGTCTGCAGCTTTGATTTTGGATTAACTTCATGTGCAGCTGTCTATATGTAAATCTTCAAGGAATACTTAAAATTCTGGAATGGAACAATCACTATGACAATTTATGCCATTAAATAAGGTCGTAACATCCGAGAATTCTGGGTAGGCGCGGTGGCCAAGTGGTAAGGCGTCGGTCTCGTAAACCGAAGATCGCGGGTTCGAACCCCGTCCGTGCCTAGCTAATCTGGCTAATAACCAGGATGGGGATTTTTTACCTACAAATTTATCCTCTTTGTTATGGTATTTTCTCATTCAACCTATTTTTCCCTAGACGAGCATAAACTGACAATACAGAGGAAAACAGTCTTTTTAACAGGAACTGATTGAGGATTTGAGAATACAGAGGATATATTTGAAAAAACAGAAGAACTGAGATAGGAGTCCTTTATGCACATGAAAAACAAGAAGTTAATAACAGAACGGAAAATAATGTAGCAGAAAAGGAAAAGAGGCCAGTTCATAAATCTAAAGCAGATTAACTCCAGACATAACTGTACAGAACTGTCAGAATGGTCTGAAACCTTCACAAAGTTTTATAAAAATAGCAGCCATTTCAGACACTGAAGTCAAGTTGTTTCTTAAAAATTATTCAGAAATTGAGAAAACTTAAAAACCAGTCTTTAAAATATCCACAAGGTGGAGCCGAAACCAAAATGTGCCAATTAGGTTCTGCCATTTCTTTAAACCAATATTTCAGTTAAATTTAACTTCAACTGAATTTTCATCCCTGCTCTATTGTAGAAAGTTCAAATTCCAGGTTTGAAACTGACACACAAAAAAATTAAAACTGAAAAATTATTTTAAATTAAAAAAAGTTTGAAATTAAAAAGAAGAGGTGAATCTGAAAAAAATATTCAAAGCAACTTTTCAAAAATTGGAAAGTGAAAAACAAGATTTGAAACTGAATAATTATTTTGATACTGAAATAGAAGTTTGAAACTGAAAAAAGAACTTAAGTAGATTTTCACATCTTTTTTCCAGTTTTGAAATAGTCTTTTTCAGTTTCAAAGTTTTTTTCAGTTTATATATTTTTGAAAATGCACATGAAAAAGTTTGTTAAATTTTAAGCCATGGCTCCTACCGCGACAATTAAGTAAAATTAAATTATTGGCCAATATCATAGAGAAATTCACTTTGTTCTCTCTTGCATCTTTACAGAACTGACAGAAACCAAACTATTTATAGATTTATATGGAGAGAGAATATGTATTTTTACATATCCAAAGATCAGCAGCTTTAACCCTCATTTTATAGAATCCAGGAATGTCGATGGTCACTTTACTCACCAACTGCCCCAACCAGACCCAAAAAAGGTTTTGTGTCTTTAATATTCACTATATTATAGACACATCATATCTAATCTGTTATGTGTAAGTCAACAGGGCAAAGGTTTTGCCAACAAACTGAGGGACAGCTGTGGAATCAGAATTACATAATTGAAAAATAGAAAGTTTGCACTGACGAGGATTCATTTGGTTTACACTGTTTTTGAAATGTTTATTAATGTTTTGATTGTTACAGAATCTCGTGTTGTTGTTTGATGTTTTTTAGCACTTGATAAAATCAGACAATAAAAGACCACTGTGTGACATTTCTTCACAAAAAAAATTACTGAATTGTCAAACTGTTTTCAACTGTAGGCAAATACAGGCTGATTCCATAAATTAGAATATGACTGAAAAGTTCCTTTGTCAGCAGTTCCATCACCAAGTCAGAGACATTATACATTAGATAACTTCCGTTTTAACATATTTATATTTCGTAGTATGTTTAAGAGCTGCTAAAAGGTTATTTTTGAAAGGTACTATTAATCTGACAAGCCTGATCAGATCCTAATTTATTGAATAAGACTGTAAGGCATTCACATGTAAGTTTTGGCTTTATTCTTAGCTCTAGAAAAAAAAAGGTCTTCCACACCAACAGTTCCAGTAACTGTGGGTCTGTGGGTCCATCAGCAACCCCTGGCGCCCACCCAGCTCCTCCTCGTCCCCACCAACTTCCAACACAAAGTTACACCCTTGGACCAATAGGTGTTCATGGTTTTGTGGTCCACCATGAGGGCACAGTCGAAGGGGTCAAAGGTTGTGTGGGTGGTTTTGAAAAACAAATATTTTCTCTGGGCCTGGAATTTGAACTTTTTGTGATAAAGTGGGGATGTAATGAGAATATAAAGTGTTTCGTTTTCATGAGAATTTCAGCAGTTTGTCTTTGTCTTCATTCAACTACAGGTGAGGCTTTAGTCTATATGTAGGACATATTTACTCCATCAGGTCATTGAAAATTAGATTTTTTTCACAGGTTTACTCTCTTCTCTGAAAATGAGGCTATCATTCGTTCTCCTTCTTTTCTCTGCTGCAGTCAGTAGTAAGTTTACCAACATCTCCATCAATGCTTTTTTCCCTCTAAAAAATAAAAATTGAATTCCGTTTGAATTTTTCTCTCTCTCAGGGAGTGAGGCCATTCGAAGCCTGGTCTTCTCCAATGAAACCAATACCAACTACATGGAGATAATCGCTGAGAAGCCGCTCCAGCTGACAGCGTTCACGCTGTGCATGCGTGTGGCCACTGAGCTCAGCGGCGAGAGAGAAATCATCCTGTTTGCGTATCGGACCAACAACTTTGATGAGCTGAATGTGTGGCGGGAGCTGGATGGAAGGTGAAACCCTCAAGTTTGTGTTTATTTGGCAAAAAATATTAATAAATAAATGCGAGATTTCATTTTTCAAAGTGATATTTTCACCTTGCTTTTCCATACATTTATAAACAAACTTCCAAACTAAATATTTAATACACAAAGCTTAATAATATTTAATATTTAGCTTTCAAATTGAACATTTAGTCAGAAAGATAAATATTTAGTTTGGGGAATAAATAATTACTTTGGAACTATTTAGTTAGCAAAATAAATATTTGAATTGGAACCAAATATTTAGCTTGAAAACTAAATATTTTTCCCAGACTTAAACATTTAATTTAAGTCTGTTAAACATTTAACAGACTTAAATGTTAAGATGTTACAAACAAACATGTTACTATAGACATGTTTGTACTAGTACTAGTTTGTACTAATACCACTAGTACTGTTTGTTAATAACAAACATTAGAAAATGTTTGGTACTAGTCAAACATTTAGTTAGTATGAAACTAAATGTTTGGTACTAAATATAGTTTAATTTTATAGTTTTAGTTTGTTTACTAAATACTAGTTTGTAAGCTAAATAAATATTTAGCCTCTTAACTAAATATTTTTATTTGACAGCTAACTATTTAATGTTCAAACTAAATGCTTGGTTCCAAATTAAATATAGTTAGGAAGCTAAATATGTATTTTTGCTAACTAAATATCCATCCAACCATCCATTTTCTTCCGCTTATCCGGGGTTGGGTCGCGGGGGCAGCAGCTTCAGAGGGGAGACCCAGACTTCCCTCTCCCCAGCCACATCTTCCAGCTCCTAACTAACTAGTTAACTAAATATGAAAGCTAAATATATAATTTATGAATCTTAGCTGTGTCCCTCTACCTGTAATTGCTGTAAAGGTGCTAATGGTGGATAAACAGGACGACCGTCATCGGAGGCTAAGCTAACTAGCTTGAACGTCACAAGCTAGCAGGTCCGCAACAGATTGTGATCGACATTTCTAAATCCCGCCTCCGGGATCTGATTGGTTGTTTGATCTACGTCATTTATTTTTCACAGATTTTCTGACAGTTACAGCAAATATGTAAAAAAAAAAAAAAAAAAAATTGTATTATAAAAGTTACAAGCTTTAACTTAGTTAAAGTGAAAAACCACACATCTTTCTGTTTAGATTGTCCTTCTACCTGAGTGGGGATGGAGTTCTGTTCCAAGTCCCTTACCTCGGCTTCCTGCAGACTCACCTGTGCTTCACCTGGGACTCCAGCTCAGGCGCTGCGGCTGTCTTCATGAATGGCAGAAAGAGTCAGACCAAAATCTACCGGAAGGGTCACACCATCCGTCCCGGAGGCAGAATCATCCTCGGCCAGGATCCTGACAATTTTCTGGGTAACTTTGATGCAAAGCAGAGTTTTGTGGGGGAGATTTTTGATGTGAACATGTGGGACTCGGTCCTGTCAGACTCTGCCATCCAAGGTCTGTTTAATTGGAGAAAGCAGGACAGAGCAAATGTGTTTGACTGGCAGTTTGCGGAACTTAGACCGTTTGGAGCGGTGGAGGTCATCAATGTTGATCCGATCTGATTTTTATTATTTCTTGATGCAGAAAATGTTCACAGTTTTCCTTCTTTGGGCAAATAAAATGTATCCTGCAATCTTTTTGTTGTGGTCATCATTTGTGCACGAATTGATAGAATGCAATATTTTGAAACTTATGTGAAATAGTATAGAACAATTTACCAAACAATATTCAAAACAGATCTGTAAAGAGAGAAGGCAAATACAACTGAAATTTTCAATGATTTCTTTTAGTTGTTAAGTGAACTATAATATTTATTACTGAATAAATAAAATAAAAATAAAAAAATAAAATTATATGAATCCACCAGGGATCAAAGTTGCAAACACTTTTACACTCTGAAAAAAGATGAAGCACTGTCCTATGACTATACTTACCTATTTCCCACAGCTGCAATAAAATAACATAGAGTTTTTTAGAGAATCTAATCAAAGGCTTTATTAGTTGCATAAGACAGAAAACCCTGAATTGCTCAGTGTGTTGTGCGTGTTGTTGAATGGCAAGGGAATTGTCCGAAAAGCTCAAGAAAGACAAAACTGTCTTGCATCACTGCTAACCCAAGACAAAATTCCACTTGAATTTGCTCCTATCTGTATAAATGAAACCTAAATGCTTTCGGTATTCTGTTTTGTGGAGCAATAAATAAAAATTACAACTTTTCAAGCCAATGGACCACTAACGTTGGACTTAAACAATTTAAACTAAAACGATTAACAGCTTTATCATCTATAATCTCACACAGATTCGATGTATTCTTTCAGAAATGATATTTTAAAATATTTATATTATACTGATATACAGACAAAATCCAGAAGAAAATATAGTTTAAAAACAAGGAAAAGTTTTTTGGGGGATTTGACGCCCTCCTGTGGCCGTAGTTCTAACTATTTTTATTATGAAACAGGCGGGCATTAGGACCCGGAAGAAGAGCAGGAAGCAGTAGCGGCCGGCGGACAGACTGTCATGGCGGACCAAAACAAGCCAGAAGGCGCAGAGAACTTCTTCAATGAAATATTAAGGTTTGATTCAGTTTAATTACAGTAATTATAAGGTAATAAACACTTTAAAATATTAGTTTTGTCTTTTAGTGGGTGTTTGTCTCTGATTTTCGGATCTCTAACTTTCTCTTTCTCGTCAACCTGGTCTAAAGTTAATCACATTTCTTTGCAGTGAATCATAATCAAATGACTCATTGTACAGAGAGTTGTTATAACTAATAGGAACATATGCCAAAGGAGTCACAAGGTTTGCAAAGGTTGTTTCTGTGTTTCTAAATTTTCTTAAGGCACCTTGAACTTGTGTTTCTCTTATTTTATTTTTGTATAAAAGTGGTTGTGTTGATTAATATTGTTAAGAGTTGCAGTACCCTTTGTTGATATCAGTTGAACATGTAATATTTTATAATATTTTCATTAGGTGTACATACTTAGTTCTCGACAATAAAATGATTTTTTTCAACAACTTAAGGGGAGAAATGTTAATAATGAAGCTATGAAATTCAATAACATAACAAATTAGTTTTGCAAAGATAGTTTAAAAAGTGTCATTTTGATCCCACAAAGTGTTGAATTTTCAGCGTTTAATTTGAGAATTTTTGAGAATAATTCAGATGTTTGTTTAATTATTTTAATTTGTGCTTTCAGTTTGTTTGAAACAGATGTGATCTTAGAAACTAGATGGCTAATTTTAAACCGTATCGTAATAATTATCAAACTGCTCAACACTGTGATAATTTCTTTCACCTATCTGCTGTATATTTACCACCTTTTCACCTTTTTCTTGAAGTACTCAATAAAAATGAGACTTTAACGGATAAAAACACAATGTAAGGCGCTAAAAGATTACAAGAACATTTGTTTTGTATCCTGAAAATTAAAGTTGTTAGCTGCTTTCATTTTAAATATTTAATAAACGTTTTAGAGAACATCTGTTGCTACCAAAATCTTAAATGTTCAAATCAGCTGTTATGTGCCGTAATACTGATAAATTCTGATAGACTTTATTTCTTGGAAGTATTAAATCAAATGAAAGTCTGGGAATGATACATATTCAATTATTTAAAAAATGTATAATTTTTATGATTCTCTCTTGCATACATTCAATCTTGTGGTTAGAATTTAATTTCTTAATGCAGAAATTTACCAATGCATTTAATGTCAATGTGTTTTTATTAACAAATAGTTAGCATTGCAGTTATTGTGCTATAAAAATCAGCTTTAGATAGAAATATCTGAGCCAGTCAGCTTTCTGGCAGTCTGTAGGTTGCACTTTCTAGCTTTTGGTGAATTTTGTCTGAAACAGGAAGTTGCTGTGGCTGAGTTTAGTTGTTCTGTTTGTAAATAACTTGCAGCCCATGTGAGCTGTTTGCGGCCCGCTCCAGGAGCCATAAGATCCCGGCCCGAGGCCAGAAGGATTTCTATCCGGATGACTCGGAGGAGCAAAAGCAGCGGCTGCAGCAGAGCCTGGATGAACACTGGAGCCTCATTTCAGAGGAGCGGGTCGAGAGGCTGTCAGTGAAATACCACACTCCTCACTTTAAATCAGTGGCTTTTTGTCATTTTTAGGTGGTGAAAAAGGTTTTTAGCTCAGTTTTGTCTGTTTTTCTGTCTCTGCAGAGGAAACCTGGTGAAAGCCATCTGGAGTCCCAGTGAGCGGATTGTGGAGCTTCAGACTCCTGCTGTGAGGTTTTTTAATTTGTCCACCTTTTTGCTGTTTATTTGTCTGAAAAGTAGTGCATGCTGGGAAAAAGATAGACTTTTCAGCTCTGTACTAATTAGCTAAATGTATAACTTAAGAATGTTTGATTAGCAGAGTTTGTTATTCAGGAAAACTCTTGACTAGCCAGAAATGTTGGTCACATTTCTTTCTTAGAATATTATGCAAAAAATCTAGACTTGTTTTATAATAATAATAATAATAATAATAATAATTATAATAATAATAATAATAATAATAATTATTATTATTATTATTATTATTATTATTATTATTATTATAAAACAAGTTTTTATAATAATAATAGTTATTATTATTATTATAAAACAAGTCTAGATTTTAATTTTTATTTTGGGAGTGGGAGTTATTTAATATTGTTACAGTTTTATTTTTTTCTTTTAATCTTCCGCAGTGGTATTTACTTTTGAATAATTTATTTTATTCCTTATTTCTATATTTTCTTTTGTTTTTACATTTATTTTATTTTAAACTTTATTCATTTTGTATTATTTTATCTTTAATTATTACTCAAATTTAATTTTATTTTCATTTTATTTACTTTTCTATTAATTTCTGGCAGCTTTTGTTGCTTTTTAAAATATTGTTAAATATATTTTTATTGTTTTTTTGTCTGTATTGATGGAAACATAATTTTTTCTGGAAATGTAGTAAATTTTGAGATTTTTTTTTCTGTTGATTTTTTCTGTTATTTAAAGTTGAACACTGGAGAGGAGGGGACCAAAAATGCAAAAATCATTTCAGATTTTGCTATAAATTGTTAATTTGTCATTTCAGTAATATTTCTAGAAGCTAATAATTTTTTTATATATATATTTTTTCTTCTTCAGGGGAAGTTTTGGCAGACGATGGGTTTCTCTGTAGAAGGGAAGCAGCTCCTCCTCCCTGAAGAGGCGCTCTACCTGATGGAGTGTGTGAGTGTGTGAGATGCTGCTCAGGTTTGGCTCTGCCGGCGCCTCTGGCTGACCGTGTGTGTGTTTCAGGGCAACCTGCAGGTGTTCCACCAGGACCTGCCGCTGTCCATCCAGGACGGCTACGAGGCGTTCCTGTCCTCAGACTCTGTGAGCCTGCAGCAGTATCAGGTGCAGTCATGACTCTGAACGCTGGAACATGCATGTCTGCGCTGATCTGATCGTTCTTCCTCTCCATCGAAGGTGTTCGGTCATCTGAAGCGGCTCGGATATGTGGTGCACAGGTTTGATCCCAGGTAACAGAATCTGAAGGTGGAAACGGTTCTGTTGCTTTGAAGTGTACAAAAAAAGTTCAATCAACACTTAAAAAATCTATTTAGGATAAAACTGGATTGTTGGTTTTAATGTGTTTTTAGTGGTTTTAGATCTTTAAAATACAAATCGATTATTTTCATAATCGATTATTCTGACAATGAATCATATTCTATATATTTTTAATGTAACCACTTACTAGAAATATGTTAAAAGATGCAAATAAACAAATAATTCAGAAAATAAACTGAATTATTTTAGTGAATTAGAACCAGGTGAAGTTAAATTTGCCACTTAAAGAGTTTTGGGTAAAACATGTTTTAAAACAAAAGTTGTTTTTTTTTATTTTAAATGTAAAATGCAGATATATATTTTTGAGCAATTTTGGTGTAACTACTACTCTGAACATGTTGTTTATTCAGCAAATGACATCGACTAAATGAGTTGATGATTATTTCAATAATCGATTAATCATGATTAATGATTAGTTATTGTTCCTAAAGTTTCTGCTTATTGATCTTTATGGTTCTGCTGATCTCCAGGTTTCAGGCTGATTGTTTTTCTTTCTGCTTCCTGTCAGCTCCGAGCCGTCGCCCTACGCCCGGCAGCTGAACCTGCCTCGGTCCAAGGACCGCGGGGCGAGGCAGCTGAAGAGGAAACGCAGCCCCAGCCCGACGCCCACGTCCAGGTCAGACAATCAGTAAAGGAATCGATTATTAGTAATCGATTATTCTGATCATTTACTGGAGGTAAATTTGTCTCAGTGTCATTCAATCAAACAAAAACTAATCTCAATAAAATACATTAATTGTGGTCTAAACGTTTGGAATTGTAATGACAAATTTTTCTGTAATGAAATATTTTATTTTGGAAAAAAAATGTTCTGTTTAAAAAACTCTTATTTTAATCAAATAATAAATTTCTTCTCTTGAACAGAAAATGTTATTTGCAAAACATAATTTTTTATTTGCTCATGTCAGAAAAGTCTGTATACTCTGGTTAGCGATTAATCAATAACTAAAATAATCGTGAAAAAAAATCCAAAATAATAATCGATAGATTAGTCAACAACTAAACTAATTTAAAAAACAAAAGAACTAATTGATTAATTAATAATTAA